AGCCCTGACCCTCCCGTGGCCGAAACCGACGCCAGAAGGCGATTTCATATCATCCCCATCCAAAAGTAGCGGTCGCCCAACCAACATGCCGACCATTGGCACAGACTGAAAAGTCCGCAATGGCCAATAGGCGCATAACCCCGAAATTATTGATTTTTGTACCTGTTCAAATTCCTATTTTGCAATGTTATGGCCCTGAAGATAATTTGCCGAAAAGTATGCTTTGCCTAACAAACTAACTTTTCAAGTTAAAAAAAATGGGAATATTTAACTAATTTAACATTCATTTCAAAGGTCAAAGCATTTCAAAGTTTTACCTCGAAGATGCCAGAAATTTGTTTTGTGTCATCAAATCTACCAAACTACTTTTTTTTTAAGTCAGGAGGCTTACCACGAGAAGCCCACTTTCTCTTCATTTTTATTTTTTGATAGGTATTCAGTTAGTGTCTACTGCTGGACATAACGACCTCAAGCGACATTGTTACAGCGGACGAATCAGACATAGGAACCCTTGTGCGTCGTTTCATGACTGGCATATGTAAACGCCTCGCAAATATCAAACAAGAGCACCAAAACATGTATTCTGATTCGCCCACTGTTGCATAATAATACGTTAATTTTCTATGGTATACCACAACTAAGAAAACAGAGAGGATGAGCGAGCACAGATTAGGCCGCGTGCAATTCATGCGGTGATTCATTGCGAATTTAGTAGCAGATTGAACCTGCAACTCCATAGCCTGCCACAGAATTCATTTTGATAATCCTTTGTCAGTGATTCGCCCCGTGGAATACCCATAAGTCGCGTTCTAGGCTTTTAAATACTCACCTTGTCCGGCAGGCCATTGGCATAATCTAAACTGGGGCAATCGTTACTTCGTTTGATTGAGTCAGTGGCTCGAAACGTAGGCAGCTCACGCGGATGTTACATTACCTGGTCTCGATAAATGATGTGTGACTTGAGAAGGAGACGACTCGATCGCTGGGACAATACTTTTATTCGCCTGACGTTTCGATATCCGTCGCGGATTCGTCATCAGAGACAAGTCAGAAAGCAATATTAGATAGGGTAGCACATGCACAGGAGTTTTCAGTATTTATAAGATACAGTAATTACTGCAAACACACGACGACAATTAACCGTAATTGCCTTCT